GTGAAGCCTTTACTTGTGTATCATTCAGAAAATCCCAGAGTGTTTAAGAAAAACTGTCTTTAAGAACAAGTTATGTGTCTTGTGGAAAGCTAATCATAAGGCATGGGTCACAAGACAAATTTTCAATAAGTGGGTCTATGAAGTGTTTGGCCCCAGTGTGAAAAAATACCTCCAGGAAAAGAAATTGCCACTGAAGTGCCTCCTGTTAATGGACAATGCTCCTGCTCATCCTCCAAACTTATTAGACCTCTTGTCTAAGGACTTCAGTTTTATAAAAGTGAAGTTCTTGCCTTCCTAACACCACTCTCTTCTCCACCCAGGACCCGAGCAGGGTCATTATACTTAACATCACAAAACTCTACACAAAAGCAGTGTTTGAAAAAGTTGCTTTGGAAGTGACCACAGATACTAATTGACCCTAAGAGAGTTCTGGAGAATCACATCAACCATCTACAGCTCATAAGCCTTATAGGTAAGGCATGAGAGGGAGTGACTTCCAGACTTTGAACTCTCTTGGAGATAATGGTGGCCAGATTGGTGTCCAAAGAGGGATTTTGAAGGGTTTGAGGCTGACTCTGACCCTAACCCAGCTCACCCTCTGCCTGTTTTGGACTATTGTGGGCATTGGGGAACACCCCGGTTGGAGGTGTAGTGGTGAGGATAGTGGAAGAGTTGGTGGAGGGGACCACAGGGAAGAGCTAAACCACTGAAGAGATGCAAGAGCTTCATCTGAGCAGTATCCAGACCCACAGCTGAGGGAACTTGCTTCAGAGGAGTGAAGAGGGAGTGGATGAGGTGCCTCTTCAAAGATAAGGAGATTTGTGCCAAGTGTGAATGATGTCCAAATGTTTGTGGCAGAAGTACCCACCCCGACAAGCTGAAACCAAGCCATCTTTGCAACAAGTTCAGTGACAGAACCATGTCCTATTTAGGGAAATGTTAAAAGAGGTGCCAGAGGACTGTGGACAGTTATTTTGTTGAGACAGGGTTCAGTGACGTTCAAGCTGGTCCTAGTGGGCATAAAAGACAGATAAGGTAAGTAACCCCAGAGAGGCTTTACCTGAAATCCTCATGGAGGGGGATTCTCCTACCAAACACTAACCGCCAACTCCCTCTCTACCTCCTCCCTAACTTTCCAGATGCCATCACCAATCTTCAATAAAGGTAAGTAAAAAAATGTTAATTTTTTATATGTATTACTATACATAATTAAAAACTATAGTATTTGTTGTATGTAAAACTGTAATTAATCTCTATAAAATTTATTTTTTGTGTGAATATTTTTGGGTTTCTGGAACGGAATAACTGTATTTCCATTATTTCTTTTGGGAAATATTGCTTCGAATTTCAGACTTTTCGAATTTAGAACTAGCTCTTGGAACGGATTAAGTTCGATTTTTGAGTTCCACTGTATGTATGTGTATATATATATATATATATATATATATATACATGTATATATATATATATATATATATAAATATATATATATATATATATATATATATATATATATATATAAAGGAATTGTTAAATGTTGATGAAGATAGGGAAGCTGTGATTTCGTGTATAGGGCAAGGAGGAACAACATCTTGTAGGAGTGAGGAAGAGCCAGTTGTGAGTGTGGGGGAAGTTCGTGAGGCAGTAGGTAAAATGAAAGGGGGTAAGGCAGCCGGGATTGATGGGATAAAGATAGAAATGTTAAAAGCAGGTGGGGATATAGTTTTGGAGTGGTTGGTGCAATTATTTAATAAATGTATGGAAGAGGGTAAGGTACCTAGGGATTGGCAGAGAGCATGCATAGTTCCTTTGTATAAAGGCAAAGGGGATAAAAGAGAGTGCAAAAATTATAGGGGGATAAGTCTGTTGAGTATACCTGGCAAAGTGTATGGTAGAGTTATTATTGAAAGAATTAAGAGTAAGATGGAGAATAGGATAGCAGATGAACAAGGAGGCTTTAGGAAAGGTAGGGGTGTGTGGACCAGGTGTTTACAGTGAAACATATAAGTGAACAGTATTTAGATAAGCTAAAAGAGGTCTTTGTGACATTTTATGATTTGGAAAAGGCGTATGACAGGGTGGATAGGGAGGCAATGTGGCAGATGTTGCAGGTGTATGGTGTAGGAGGTAGGTTACTGAAAGCAGTGAAGAGTTTTTACGAGGATAGTGAGGCTCAAGTTAGAGCATGTAGGAAAGAGGGAAATTATATCCCAGTAAAAGTAGGCCTTAGACAAGGATGTGTGATGTCACCGTGGTTGTTTAATATATTTATAGATGGGGTTGTAAGAGAAGTAATGCGAGGGTCTTGGCAAAGAGCGTGGAGTTAAAAGATAAAGAATCACACATAAAGTGGGAGTTGTCACACTTGCTCTTTGCTGATGACACTGTGCTCTTGGGAGATTCTGAAGAGAAGTTGCAGAGATTGGTGGATGAATTTGGTAGGGTGTGCAAAAGAAGAAAATTGAAAGTGAATACAGGAAAGAGTAAGGTTATGAGGATAAAAAAGATTAGGTGATGAAAGATTGGATATCAGATTGGAGGGAGAGAGTATGGAGGAGGTGAATGTATTCAGATATTTGGGAGTGGACGTGTCAGCGGATGGGTCTATGAAGATGAGGTGAATCATAGAATTGATGAGGGGAAAAGGGTGAGTGGTGCACTTAGGAGTCTGTGGAGACAAAGAACTTTGTCCTTGGAGGCAAAGAGGGGAATGTATGAGAGTATAGTTTTACCAACGCTCTTATATGGGTGTGAAGCATGGGTGATGAATGTTGCAGCGAGGAGAAGGCTGGAGGGAGTGGAGATGTCATGTCTGAGAGCAATGTGTGGTGTGAATAAGTGCAGAGAATTCGTAGTTTGGAAGTTAGGAGGAGGTGCAGGATTACCAAAATGTTGTCCAGAGGGCTGAGGGAAAGGGTTGTTTAGGTGGTTCGGACATGTGGGGAGAATGGAGCGAAATAGAATAACTTCAAGAGTGTATCAGTCTGTAGTGGAAGGAAGGCGGGGTAGGGGTCGGCCTAGGAAAGGTTGGGAGGGAGGGGGTAAGGAGGTTTGTGTGCGAGGGGCTTGGACTTCCAGCAGGCATGCGTGAGCGGTTTGATAGGAGTGAATGGAGACGAAGGGTTTTTAATACTTGACGTGCTGTTGGAGTGTGAGAAAAGTACATTTATGAAGGGGTTCGGGAAACCGGGCGGGCCCGGGATTTACCCGGAGAGGGGAAGTACAGTCCCTGCACCTGAAGGAGGGGTGTTAATGTTGCATTTTAAAAAAACGTAGTGAAAAAGCCCCTTCTGGCAAGCAATATGGAGTGAATGAGGTGAAAGTTTTTCTTTTTGGGGCCACCCTCCCTTGGGGGAATCGGCCGTGTGAAATAATAAATATATATATAATATATTATATAATAATATTATATATATATTATTATTTAAAATTATATATATATATATTAATATATTTATATAATATTTTTCAAAAAGTCGGTGTCCCCCGGGGGAGGGAGTGCCCCAAAAAAAGAAAGAAAATCCCAAAAAAAAAATATTTCATCTTTTTCAACACTTTCACCGCACTCACACATTATCCGCTTTGCGAGGTGCTCAAATCAACAGTTTAGAAGATATACGTATAAAGATACAAAAATCCCCCCAAACTGCCAATATCCCAAAACCCCTCCTTTAAAGGCAGGCTTGTCTTCCCATTTTCCCGGACTCAAATTGACTATTGAAAAAAACGGTTTCCTGAAACCCTTCACTAAATTACCTGTCAACCCCAAAAGACGTCAGGGCCCCAAAATCATTGTCTCCCTTCACTTATCTAACCGCTCTGCACCTTCTGGAAGTCCAAGCCCCTCGCCCACAAAAACCCCCTTTTTCCCCCTCTTTTCCCAACCCCCTTTTGAGGACACCCTACCCCTCTTTCCTTCCCATAGATTTATATGCTTTCCCCTGTCATTTACTTTGATCCATTTTTTAAATGACCAAAAACCCCCTCAACAAAACCCCCTTCTGCCCTCTGACAATGCTTTTTAACTCCCACCTTTCCCAATTTCCACACTCCGAATTTTTTCATAATTTTACACACACATTGCCCCTTTGACAGGACTCTCCCCTGCCTCCAACCCTTCCCCGCTGCTGCATTTACCCCCAAGCTTCACATCCAAAAAGAGTTTGGTACTACATACTTTCATCATTTTCCTTTTTTGCCTCATAGATAACGTTTTTGACTCCACAATACCCCAAAGCACCCTCACCTTTTTTCCCCCATCAATTTATGGGTTAACCCCACCCCTTTATAAACCCCTCGCCGACCGTCAACTACCCCGTATCTGAAAAATTCACTTTTCATACTCCTCCCCCAATTTGATACCATTTTTTTTTTATCTAATCATTTGATACCCTCATCACCTTACTCTTTTCTATGTTCACTTTCAACTTTCTACCTTTACACACATTCTCAAACTCATCCACTAACCTTTGCAATTTTTCTTTAGAATCTCCCATAAGCACAGTATCATCAGCAAAAAGTAACTGTGTCAATTCCCATTTTGAATTTGATTCCCCATAATTTAATCCCACCCCTCTCCCGAACACCCTAGCATCATATATATTATATATTATATATATATATATATATAATATATATAATATATATATATATATATATATATATATATATATATATTGTACTGGCTTCTTCACTCTGTGTTAGTGTGACTTGTAAATAGTCCATGTTGGACCAAAATGCATCATAAGCTTCTCTCTGATATGTGCAGGTTATTTGTGTAATGTCATCTATGTATTTCAGGTTCAGTCAGAGACCTACTTATCTTACTACAGGCAGAAATATACAGATTTGTTAAATGTGTGACATGTCACTAAGTGGTTTCTCACTTTGTATTGATCATTGCTTTGCATATTTGTACAGTATTGTCTATTGTAGTATTTTGAATTGTACAATATGTACTGGTGCTATATAAAGTTTATTGAAAAATGGCAAAAATTTAGCTTACATTTTCTGTAACAGGCAAGGTACTACTGATGGAATGGGCCAAGTTGAGGTGGGGTGTGTTCGACGAGCTGGGTTACCCTGGTGATGAAAGCTTCCCACTCTTCTATATCTGGGATGAAAACACTAGTGGAGTTCCAGGTGGTGGCACAATTCTTCCCACATATTGTGCTAACACACCAGTGGAAGGACGTCGTATGTAAGCAAAGTATCCTTCTCTCACTGTAACAGTAATAGACAAGTCTGGAAATAATGTACTACTTTGTTAAATCTGAAATCAAATTATCCAGCGAACTGTAACGATAATGGATTTTGTTAAAACCAAAATCAAGTAAAACAGGCTTTGTTAAATTGAGGTTTTACTGCTACTGTATATACAGTGGTACCTCAGGATATGAACTTAATTTGTTCCAGAAGAGTGTTCGAGTGCCAATACCGAACGAATTTGTTCCCATAAGGAATAATGTAAATTAGATTAATCTGTTTCAGACCCCCAAAAATACACTTACAAAACCACTTACATAAATACACTTACATAATTGTTCAAGTTATGAGCTGTTCGTATCTTAAGGTACTACTGTATTTTTATATTTTATTTACTGTATGAAAGTGAGGAAGGTACCTAGGGATTGTCAGAGAGAATACATAGTTCCTTTGTAAACAGGCAAGAAGGACTGTAATAATGTTGGTAGAATTGCCGACAATATGTAAAGAAAAAGGACACAAGTGCAACTAATGTGACATTTTATTGTGTAACGTTCCTGGAGAGTGAAACGTTCCACACCCTTTCCCCTTATATTAATTTTTAATTATTTTTTTTATTAAATAATTTTTTTATTTAAAAAAATTTTTTTTTTATTTTTTCCCCTTTTTTATTTTTAAAATTCCCCAGTTTGCAAAAGTTAACCCCTTTGGTATTTTTTTTTAATAGTTTTGGTTCATTAAAATTTTTAAACAAAAAAATTTTTAATTTTGACATCCAATTTTACTTTTATGGGCCCCCCCCCCCCCCCCCCCCCCCCCTTTTTTGTTTTTTTTCGGGGTTTTAAAAATGAATTCCCTTTTTCCCCTTCCATTAAAGTTTTAAAAAAATGGCAAAAAAACTTTTTATGTAACAAATTTTTCCACGTAAATTAACAAATTTTTAAATTTGTATACTTTTTTTTTTTTTTTTTTTTTTTTTTTTTAAAATTTTTTTAAATTTTTTTTTTTTTTTTGGGGGTTTTTTTTTTTTTTTTTTGTTTTTTTTTTTTTTTTTTTAAAATTTAAAATTTCAAATTTTCCCGCGTTTAAACTTTTTTTTAAAAAATTCAAAAAAACGGCTTTTTAAATTTGGGTTTTCTGCTACGAATAAGTTCCAAAACTTAATTTTTCAAAATTTTTATCCAATACCAACAATTTTTTCCCATAAGGAAATTAAATTTTTTTAATCTTTTCAGACCCCAAAAATCCTTACAAAAATTAAAAATTTCACTTTATTTGTTTTTATGTTCGTTCTTAATCTTTTATTTTTATATTTTATTTACTGTTTTTAAATGAAAAAACCTAAAAGGGTAAAGTCTATTTCCTTTAAAAACAAAAGGGCTTTTTTGAAATTTTCCGAAATTGTAAAAAAAACAAATTTTTAACTAATTGACATTTTTTTGTTAACTTTCTGGGGTTAAACTTCCCTAAAATGTCACTTTTGGGGTTTTAAAACTTAACTTTTTTTATTTTTTATTTTTTATTTTTGGCACCATACAGGGGGTACAAAAAAAACGAAAAGGCCATTAAAAAAACCACTTACATAAGCATTAGGGGGCCTTTTAATTAAATTAACAAAAAATGATGAAATCAGTGAAAAAATTAATTAAAAAGATTACTTAAAACCCCTTTAAAAAGACGGTCAATTTCCTGCAGTTTAAATTCTAAAAGTTTTTCTTTGGGATTATTAAAAAATTTAAAAAATTTATTGGGGTTTAAATTTTTCAATAAAATTTAAAATTTTTAAATATACAATTTATAGGTTTTATTTATTCAGTATTTTTTTGGGTTTTTTTGGGTGGTAAGTGATCTTTGAAAAGAACTTGAATTTTATAAACAGGAGTGTTTCTTTTATATTTACAGGAAATAAATTTCCCAGATTTTGGGGCCCTTTTTTGTGCTTTGAGTTTTGCATAGCGTGGAGGACACGAGGAATTCAAAGAGTGATCTGTCCTTGTGTTAGGTCATGTGTTCTTTTGAGGTTGGCAAGGAGATTTTGAGGGGAGGGTTTAAATTCAGAGTTGAGTGTTCTATGTATGTAATAGGTGCAGTAATAAGTATGGAGTTTTGATGGTGAGTGGGTTGAGTGTATTAAAATTTGGGGAGTGTGCTGCCTGTAGGAAAATTTGTTTCTTTAAAATGCACCCCTTTTTTTGGGTAATTAGGGGTCTAGGGGTTACTTGTTGTTGAGCCCCTGCACAAATTCCATAGGTGAGATAGGGGTAAATAAAGATGATTTGGGGCCCCGGGAGGGGCTGGGAGCATAGTACCGTATTTTCGATAGTATGCCACAGTCTTGGAATTTTTTCTTAGAAATTTGTTGATTGTTATAAAAAATTTGGGAGTTATTATCAAGGTGGTTCCCTAAAATTTTTTCCCTCTGTTAGTTTGTGATAGGTGACCCTTTTTATCTTTTTTTTAAAGGGAGGGACATCTGTAGTCTGTTACCAACTGAATAAAGTGGTTTTTTAATGTTTAGTGTAGTTTGTTAGACTCATCCAGTATATTTTCTGTAATTCGGTTTTACAGTATTGGCTAGCGGACGGGGCTCGGGTGGGAGAAGACTATGTTGTGTCATCAGCAAATAGTGTGGGTTTGAGAAATTGCAAAGCATTTGGTAGGCATTTATGTATGGGAAAAAGAGAAGGGGGAAAAGGACCTTCCTTGGGACACCAACTGTAATTGGTTGTGAGGATTTGCCCCTTTTGGTACAATATTGGCTTCTTTTTCTGAGGTATGCCTTGATATTTTAGGGAGTGCCCCTTATCCCTAGTGTGAAAATTTTACGTGGAGCAAGTCAGGTCAACTGTATAAAAAGTTTAGTAAGTCAATGAAGACCCCCAGTGGGACTTCTTTTTCTCATTGCAGGTATATAGTTCTGCATTGTATAATAGCTCTTAGTATTTTTATTGGGCCCTAATCCAAATGGCAGGGGTTGAGTATGTTTTGGGAATGGGTAGGAAGATTCGTTTTAAATTTAATTTTCGAAGATTTTTGAGAGGGGGTGTAAGTTGTATTGGCCTATAGTTATTCAACTCTGTTTTGGCTCCCCCTTTTGGATGGGGGTCCCTTGCTTTTTTGATACTGTAAAGGTGGAGGATTCAAGGATTTGTTAAAGAGTGTTGCAAGATTGGTGATACCTTGTGACATTTTTTGTATAAAAAGGGGTAGTAAGGTTTTTAAATCTCCTGCCTTTTTTTTTAGTGCTTGTAAAAAGGGGAGATTCGTAGGGTTGTCGAGCTAGGAACATGTGTTGGGGTATTTTCCCGGGGAGGTGTCTTTTGGGTGGGGTATCTGAGTTTGGGGATTTTATTGCAAGTTTTGTCCTATAGGGGGGGAAAAGAAACATGATTTGTTTGCTGTTTCTTTTGGGGTGGGATTTGGGGGTTCTCTGATTTTTGCTAATTTTTTCGCTATTCTGATACTTTTTTGCCCCGAATTTTGATGGGGTTTCCAGGTCTTTTTTATATCCCCTCGTAATTGGGAAAATCTGTTCTTAATACAATTTTTTTGCCCTTCTTTTTTCACTGGTTGGATTGCGATAATTTTGTTTGGTCTCTGGTTATGTGCCCATTCTGTACTTTTTTTCCATATTGGTTTTTTGATTTATGGTTTTGAGAATGTGGGGTTACCGGGGACTTTTCAGTCTCTTAGCTGTATCGTTAGTTTTTTTGGGGCAGTGTTTTTAGAGGTTTGGGGTTTTTTTTAAAAAAATTTTTAATACTTCTCAATATCTGTATTGATTTTAGTCAGTGTGCCAGTAAAAGGGGTTTTGCACGCGTTTTGAAATTATTAAGGCTGCCCCATTTTGGGAAATTGAAGGGGACTTTAGTAGTGTCTTGGGGGAATTTTCCAAAATTTTTTATGAGGAAATAGGGTATGGTCTGGGTATTTTCTGTAATTATGCTGTTTTAAAGGGGATATGGTGTTTCCAGATGTGGCGTGGGAAAACTAGTCTCTGAAAAACTTGAGGTTTTTACTGTTTTTAGCAACTACAGTTACTCATTGTGTTTTGAATTCGAACGTGTGGGGGCCCGGTTTGCAGGAGATTTATATTGAAGTACCGAGTAGGTAAGTGATCTTTGTTCAGCGTGCATCAGTTATCATATTCCCGGTTTTGACTAAAATTTGGGTAATGTTTTTTGTGGAAAATGGATGTTTATCAATGTGAAGGTTTTTGTAGGTATTTGGTTTGAATTTGGTATTTTATATTTCCCCCTTTTTATCTCTTGTGCAAATATTAGTGAAAAATTTTTAGTTGGTTGGAGTTTTGGCTTCCTCCCCTTGTTGGTTGGCCCCATTAGTATGGCTGGTACAGGAATGGCATAGACATCTTACATAGGCTTTTAGCAGTTTCAGTTAGTGTAAAGATGGACTATTGGCAGTAAGGGGAAATTTGTAATGCAAGTCATCGTAATGCTTCTTAAAGATTGATATTGTAGTTTTTAAAAATAGTTATTTTGTTGGCACTGAGAAGTGCCCTTTTATTGTTCTGCAGTGTAGTAATTACGTAACTGTTTGATTCATTTAAGTCATTAAATAAGGGTTGGTACAGGACAATGTTTTAAACATAAGATTTGTAGTGAACAAGTTAAATTAAGATAAAACAAAAAAATGTCTTTAAACTAAAAAAAGCACCCGAAAATTTTTAAAAATGTAAAAAATGAACTAAAGGAGTTCTTTTTTTTTTTTAAACTAAAAAAAAGGGGACAATATAAAAGGGGTAGTACAATAAAGTGATGTAAATAATGGAGGGGGAAATGATAGTAGGTAGTACTTTAAAAAAAATGAGTTTGGAATATAAAGGGGAAATTTTGAACTTGTTTACTTTAGCACCTGAGAATAGCACCTTGATTTTTAACAATTGTGAAGTATAAACTAGGGTAGTTTTTAAAGCTAAAAAAAGGGAAAATATATAAGGGGCTAAAATTAATAATGTAAACAAAATTAAATGGA